GGCCATTGCTGCCGGCATCCACCCACATGGAACACACTCATTAAAGCAGAAGTGTGTTTCATGCGGTTCCACTCCAGTTTGTAGATAACCCTCAGTAAGAAGCTCACTGTGGGTTATTTGCAAACATGTAACTCCTGCCAGAGATGCCCAAAATTTATCCTTAAAAGCTTGTGAAAGCAACAGCTTGAACCCATGTCTTCTGAATCATGGTAGAACGTTCTGTCCTCTATTCTACACTGGCTGTCACATTTTGCATGGGATATTAGCAAACTGAACGCTTCTTCTGATTCTTGGTGTTGGGATGGGGAAATGGGGGGGGGAAGCAAGACTCTGGTAGACCATCCATCAATGATGTAATATAAAAATCTAAACAATACATTTCTCTTTGCCTTGTCTAAAGGTTAATCAAGAAACTGCCAGCGACCGAATACATGGATTTGGCTGCGGGCAGTTTCTCAACCTGTCCTTTATGAGAAAGCAAAGGATTTCTGTCATCAGTGATGACCTACCAGAGTCTTGAAAATAAATTCACTTCCCCTGCCCCTCCATTGAGGAGCAGAGGAAGTGTTTAACTTGCCGATATCCTGAAGTGGCTCGTTTATTAAGCTACTTCACAGTATCAGAAACGGAAGGAGCCAGACCAAAGAGGGTTGCTTTTGCTCTCCATTTGAATGTGAGGATTGTATCAAATGGCATATTCCGCTTCTGTCTGACCCCACGTGACCCTGTTTAGCCCGCACCATCCTGTACCTAAATGATCAGTATAGACGAGCCCTTAACCTTGTTTTGCTCCATCTTCCTCTTGCAGCCTCGATCCCATTCTTCATCTCTGAGCTTCGCCTCGTTTCCCCGGTGCGTCGCGGCTTCTTCTGCAACGACAGCAGCATCAGCTACCCAGTACAGCGCTCTGAGACCATTTCTGATCCGGTGCTCATTTCAGTGGGAATCCTGATCGCTTCTGTCGTGGTGAGTTTTATAGGGGGAAGAGGGTGGTTTTGTCCCTTTGGGATAGTGCACCCGTTCTCCCCACTGGCCTGCAAAGCTACCTAGAGCTCAAGAGAGTCAAACCTAGAGGGGAAAAATCCCACGCCGAGCACCCTAATCCAACCCCAGCTGTTCACTTTTTAAGTCCCCCTAGCCAGAGGAGGGATTTGGGGAGGTTTTGATCCCCAAAAGGAACTTTTTCAGCTCTGCTGTGCATCATAAAGCCATCTATGTCTCAGTGCCATCTGTTGGGTTCTTATGTGAAATCCATACAGTTCATTGAGTCTCTGCCTCTGCGCTTATTCCTTATAAGACTTCCTTTCTAAGGAGCTAAGCCTGACTTGGGGTTCCCCTTTTTCCTTCCACCCTGAAACATTTTGTCCTGGTTAGTCTGTAAACGATTTTCAGTCAAAGGGCAGCCAGGGCCCCTGACTCCTTAAGGTGAATCTCCCCCCCCCTTTCCATTTGCTCGTGAAGGAACAACTCCCTGGTTTGTGGGTTGTGAGGCTGGGAAGTTCTGGGAGTTGTAGTCCCCCAAAATAACTTGTCCAGACTCAAATTGGAAAGCCACCGCCCTCCATGAAGCAGCAAGCCTCTTCTCCTCCTGCAGGGTTGGGGTCGCTTGAGGCCACCTTCTCTGTCCTCTCTCCCTGTGCAGATCATCCTAGGCGAAAGCTTTCGAGTGTACAACCTTTCCTACCCTTCCCGCTCCATCGTCTCCAACCCGTACGTGGCTGCTCTCTACAAAGAGATCGGCACTTTCCTCTTTGGCTGCATTGTGGGCCAGTCCCTCACCAACATGGCCAAGCTTGCGGTGGGTCGCCTCCGGCCTCACTTCCTGGCCGCCTGTCGGCCGGACCCCGCTCGCATCAACTGCTCTGCCGGTTATGTGGAGGACTACGTCTGCACTGGGGTTGCCTCGGAGGTGAAAGAAGCCAGGTGTGTACTGGTGAACCCCACCCTTGGAGAAGCGCAGAGATTTTCATACTCAGTGCCCTTTGCTGGACTGAGAGGAGGGAGAAATTTAATTCATGAAAAATAGCGAAGGTGGGTTGTTTCAGGCAGAAGCCATCGTCCCTAGGTTTGGGAAAGGGTCAGTGCTGGCTTGGAGGACACCTGGGAGGACATTGTCCCAGGAAAGCGATTTCTCCCCAGCTCAGAAGGAGTCACCCTGTGTCTGCAGCACACTAGCCAGCCACGCCGGAAGAGGCTGGTCAGCGGTGAGCTGCTTAGAGAAGAAAGTGACCTTATGGTCCCGGGATGCCATTGCAGGGCCAGTGCAAGCTTAGCTAAGCGGCCCTATTGAGTAGAAATTTGTGGGAGGAGAGCAACAGAGAACAGCTGCCCCATGTGCAATAAGGGCATGAATCTCACAGGGGAAGAATCTGCCATGACACCGTTCAGCTGCTGCCAGTCCCACATTTCTTGCCAACAAGATGGAAAGCAGGACCCGTGCCAGCCAAAACGTCTTGGCTTGAGTTACTATTGTAGCAGTTACGATGTTTCACCTAAGATTCAGCTGAAATTTATGGTTTTCATTCCTTCTTTCATTCCTTCTATCTAAAGCTGAGTTAGGAGAAAATGTGGCACTTCAGGTGTTGTTGGGTTACAACTCTTCGTCATTCCTCATCCAAGGTTGATGGGAGTTGCAGTCCGGGAGCATCTGGAGTGCCAGAGTTTCTCCACTTCTGTTCTGGATCGTGACCAGGAAGGCTTGGTCATTATATTCTGTCACCTAGCCTTTCCCCCAACTTGGCACTCTCTGTAGTGCCCTTAATCCTGACCATTCTTGGCCAGAATATTTTCTCCCCGTTGAGACATGCAACAGAGATTTCTGCAGGTGGGCTGTCAGGTGAGGTTCTTACTCCTGACTAGCAGACGACAGAGATTTCTGCAGGTGGGCTGTCAGCTAGGTGAGGTTCTTACTCCTGACTAGCAGACAGAAGGAGGAAAGGAAGGAAAGACAGACTGGGTGTATGGATAAGAAAGACCAAAACTCAGCCTTCATTAGAGAACAATGTTCCTCTTATGTTTGTGTGGATTTTGCCACTAGTCCCCCTTGATCTGAGTTCCGTCCTACTCAGCCCTCTTCTCCACACAGCTACATCAAGGCATGCCTATCAGGAATCCTAGCATCTAGATCCCACATCTGAGCCCATTCTTTGTCAACCCTGGTGTCCTCCAAGTCTGCTGGACTACAAATCCAGTACGCCTGGAAAGGCACCACCAGTATGTTCTAGGCAGACTGAATCTTCTCCCTGGAGTCTTATCCCTAGTGAAAGTTGAAGGCACCTAGCCTTCGTGAAATGAATATCAGAAATTTAAGGAAACATTTACCATAATTCCAGCAATACTTTAATGGGACTTCCACTCTCTCTGGGCCACACATTGTTCTGCCATGGTGGAGCAAGAAGTATCTAAGGGAAACCGGCGTAGGCTGCAAGGACTGTGTGAGCAAGTTCTTCTGAGACAATAGCCTTCCGTTTGCCACGGTCAGTTCATACCAAACACATCCTTTTCTCTTCTAGGAAGTCTTTTTACTCCGGCCATGCCTCCTTTGCCATGTATACCATGATGTACCTGGTGGTAAGTCTCTTGGGTTCAAGTTTACAAAAGAAAGATCGGCAAGGTTTCCCCTCATGTATCTGGCCATTTTGTAAGCCATGTAAACAGCCGTAAGGAATGGTCCTTGACAGGCAGTCCACTCCAGAGAGGCAGGCACATGTCACGAGCATGAACTACCCACCGCCACACGGCTTGCCATTGGCAGTGGTCGTCCCCATGCAAATGACAAGAGCCTGTGGTGCCATGTCACTGGCTCTGGAAAGGGGATTATGATGATGTGGAGTAGATTCCATACAGCTGAGCTTCGTTTTGTCCACTGGAATGTATGAAAGAGGCCCAAGTGCCTTACCTAGCAGCGTGGGCATGAGTAGAAAGCGTGATCTGGAAGCAAATTTTAAGAAAAAATCCTGCCAAGCTGTAGGAGCAACTCTGTGGAAAGTCATCAGTGCCTTAAAAACAAACAAACAACCTTCTCCTTAGTTAAATTTTTGTGTTGGGGTGGTGTGCCATCAAGTTGCTCCTGACTTAAGGTGACCCTATGAATCAAGGGCCTCTGAAGGATCCTGTCCTTACCCATCCAGTTCAGGTCTAGCAGACTGAAATGTGTGCCTTCCTTTATTGAAATGATCTGTCTCCTTTTCCTCTTTCCCCAGCACTATGGTCTTTTCCATTGAGTGCTGTCTTCTCATGATGTGCCCAAAGTGTGATAGTTTCAATGAAATCATGTCTGCTTCTAAATTTATTTATTTATTTATTTATTGCATTTATATGCCGCCCATCTAGACATGGTCTAACTCTAAAGAGTTTCACAGTTGATTTGATATAGAACCCACCGATTGGGCTTCCCTGGCATTCCATGATATCCATAAAGCTCTCCTACAACAGAACGTTAAAAGTTTTGCATTTCAGTTATGCTTCTAGACCAGCCTTTCCCGGATAGGAGATATGATCGCTTCCATTATCCTCATTTTGCTGGCTGTGTTAGGTGCGCTTGATGAAAAAAAATAATCATCCAACACATTTTAAGTTGTGGATCTCCAACACAGAACATGGTACCCTCACCAGGCTGTGATTCCCAAGGTGCTTTGGCTGAAATACGAAGCTGTCATCCCAATTTCACCTGTGAAATCTTAGAAGATGTTTGTGGTGTGGGTGCGTGCGTGTGTTTTTCTTTCTTAATGCTTTGGGGGGCGGGGAAATGGAATGGGACTGGGTTAAACTGATATGAAGAGGAATCCAAGTGTTTTGGCTCCAGGTGCATTTCCAGCCCGCAGTCTGCAGACATTCCTTGGTACCTCCTCTTACTACTCTTTCCTGTTATGCAGTATGGAAGGTGCTGATTCTTATCTCTCTCCCAAGGGTTTGGGCAGGGCTTAATCATTGCTTTATGGCTGTGGAGCCTCTGACTCCATGAGCTTGACAAGGGCAGTCACAGTACAGTCTCAGTGGCTTCTGGGAATGTGCTTTGGACGACACCAGCGCAAGACCACAATAACAACGAAGACTCTGCATTCACTTGGAGAGTTGGGTGTCTCTTCCTCAGCTTGGAAAAGGCACTTTTTGTTGTTGTTGTTTCCAATTCCCAGAATTCCCTAGGCAGGATCTGTGTATCCAAGAATCTGATACACCCTGCTGAATGTACTGTTGTATATTTAGCAGAGGGCTTAGTTTGGCGTCCTAACAGCGCTTCTTCCCCCATATGTGTGTCCCCCCCCCCGCCCCAGAAGGTCTGGTGCCAAACTGCAGTTAAGAGGAGAAAAAGGGGGAGCGGGAGAGAGATTCAGGTCCATTCTGGTGGGTCAGTTTCCCTAAAGCCCTTGGGGGTCTGTAAAGGAGCTTTTATGAAATAGCGACTCAAAAAAAGGTAGCACAGCCTTGGGGCGAGCGTGCCAAGGGTTAAGCATGGCTTGACCAGGGAGTTCATTGCAAAAGGCAAGATCTGAAGTGAAGATTTCCTGGTTCACAGCTCACGTCGCCTCTTCGTGTGTATGATATGCGAGCCCTCAAGACCTTGACACACACATCTAGGAAATAAATATGCACATGCAAGTCTGGCGGGGAACAACAGGAGTAGCCAAACAGGGTCCCCCCCCCCCCAGATGTTGCCCCGGGAGCGAGACTCCTGTCATTCCTTGCTGTGGTCAATGCTGGTTCAGGGTGAAAGGGGTTGTAGTTCAGTGCTCGTACCGGGAGCACCGCCTGTCGCTGGATTAAAAGGAGTGCATCAACAAGCCAAATCCTCTATGCATTTAAGCGAGGCAGGCAATTATTTATTATCACATTTACATCCTGCCCTCCCTTTTCAGGACTCAGGACAGTGTATATGGGAGCTATCCCCATTTTATTCCAAGCCCAGCACTGTAAGGTTGGGTTTGACTGACTGCTGCTGCTGACTGGCCCCAAGATCACCTAGTGGGGTTTTTTTTGGGGGGGGGAGTGCAGATTTGAACCTAGACCTCCCTCTTCTAAATCTGTCCCCACATTTTACTGCCATTTTGGCTCTTATTCTTCTTTCCTTTGGAGTTTACACTTCTATAAAATCCTTAGTCTTTAAGCTGCCGCACCGACAGCTGGTGCGGTGCAAAGGATGGAGCGCTGGAGACTTCAGAGCCATGAGTTCAAACCCCAGCTTTGATTCCCTGAGAGCAAGGCGGCAAATGGTAAGCCACTCCTTGAACGTTTCACATCCTTTGAAAAGCCTATTAGGGTCATCACAAGTTGGAAGCCACTGGGTCAGCACGTAACAAGCGAAGCTTCTAGGCAGTGGTGGCGGCTAAGTATCAAAACTGCAACCAGTGTTCCCAGAATTTTCCAGCCACCAAAATTGGTTGGAGAATTCTGGGAAGTGCAGTCTCCCCCACACAAACAAACAAACAAACAAACGAAAAGAAACCTCTTTACAAACCCCAGTGTACCTTACTAAACAGGAATCCACAGAATTGCATTAGGAACTGTACGGAACTGCTGGTTGCTCCTCTCTGTGACCTCTCTGGGTCATGTTTGGCCAAGATTTGGTTTTGGGAGGCTCAGATCCCTGCAGAGCTCCTGTTCACTTACCCATGTCTTTGCCCTTTCCCCCCCCTTCCAGTTTTACCTGCAGGCGAGGTTCACTTGGAAGGGTGCTCGCCTACTGCGCCCGCTGGTCCAGTTTGTCCTGTTGATGGTGGCCATGTACACGGGGCTCACCCGCATCTCAGACTATCGGCACCATCCGTCTGATGTGATCGTGGGGCTGCTGCAAGGGGCGCTGGTGGCCTACTGGGTGGTAAGTTACAATCTCCACCAGCCCCTTCTCCAGCTTGACATACTGTCCCCAATCCTCTGTCACTTGGTGGGAGCTCAGTAACTTTTTGGTCTGTGTCAGCATATATGAGAGAGAGAGAGAGAGAGAGAGAGAGAGAGAGAGAGAGAGAGAGAGATCTACACAGTTTCTTACTGGACTGCTTCATGCTTTTAATCCCAGTTCTGGAAGCCAAGCAAAACATTTTCTTTGCCCTTTAGTTAGGGGACTGGACTGCTGGCTATACATATTCTAACTTTTTTTGTTGTTGCAAAAGAAGGTGGGTAATATCTTTCTGTGGAATTTTTGTCTTGGAGATAGATGCACAAAATTAAAATTCAGTGCCCAAGTGACCCCTCTTCTGTGACAAGAAAAGTTGGATCCTAAACCCTGCATAAATTGTGCACGCTAAGTACATTTCCATCATTCCCCTTTATTTTTGCACATTTTATTCCTCTAGAGCAGTGGTCCCTAACCTTGGTTAACCCAGGCGTTCTTGGACTGCAGCTCTCAGAAATCCAGGCCAGCACAGCTAGTGGTGAAGGCTTCTGAGAGCTGCAGTCCAAGAAGACTTTGGGTTACCCAAGGTTGGGAACCACTGATCTAGTGATAAAGAGGGATAAGATGCTGAAGCCTTTCTTGCCCCCTTTCCCAGGACCTCTTGCCCAAGATTTTGGCAGGCTCTTACCTGCATATTTCCAGGCATACAGGGAGGACTTGAAAGCTGCTTCAAAGAAGCAAGCTGGGATTCATGGAAGATCTGCGTTAATTCCGCTACTAGTCCCATTTGTGTCACTCTTCCATGCTCATACATGGAGGCACATCCCAAATAGTAACTTTTTCCAGGTGCAGTGATTTCACCAGGGCTTAGGAACATGTAATGTCCTAGACTTCAGTGCTCATCAGTTCTAGCCAACAGAGCCCAGGGTAAGACACTGGGAGACCTGCCCATCACAGATCTGTCACATCCCCTGGTCTGAGTCACTGATTGTCATCACCTCCTGTGGCCATGAACCGTCTAAGTTTGTTATGTCTCAAACAGAACTCAGTGAAGTTAAGTTTGTGGACTGCAGGTCTCAGAATCCTTACACCCCCCCCCGGAAGTGTGTCCCATAACCATATTAGCTCTGAGTTTCTGGAATTCATTCCCAAGGGGGCGGGGAGGGGGGGAACAAGCTAACCTTTTTCTCTTTCTGTAAGTCATAAATCTTCAACCAGTGGTGTTTCTTTGACTAAACTCTGTGTGAGGTCTGTTCTGTTGCAAGAGAGGAAGGCAAACAACAACACCAACAGCCTCTGATTGCTGCCATTCGTAATTCTGTAAACTTCTTTCAAATTCTCCCCTTTTTTTGTTGTCCTCTCCTCTTCCCACTGCTCCATTAAAATGCCTCAGCAGAAGGTATTCAACACATTGACTCATCTTGCCTGTCTTTGCCTACTTTTCTGTGGCGTAGAGCAATACGAAGGCCTTGGGCATCATGATGTGGGTTGAGCAGGGAGGGTTGAGTTAATAGATGACCGAGAAAGTTACGCTTTTGCAGAGGTGAGCAACAAAAGTGGGGTTTGGTGCAAGCTGCCAGGAAATAACTGAGGAAGCACACACCCTTGCCTGCATTGTGTACTGGCAGCTCGGAGGAAATCGTTCAGTTTCCTACCCTGGCCGTGGGATTCCAGCCCCACCCACACGGCCCGGGGTGTGTGTAGAACCCAGTGGGGCAGGACCAAGAGATTTCGTGCGGCTGCCCTCTGTTCGGACAACCTGAAGCCGGGAATAGAGTCTAGGAATCCAAGCTGTGGGTGGCCTTATCTGCCACTGTGATGGAGGAGCAGGTTCTGAACGGGAGTGGGCTATAAAGAGTTACGTTGTGCATGCGCTCAGTTCTGTATTGTTGTGGGAATGCTGCCATAAAGCATGTTTAAAATATCTTTCTTTTTTTAAAAAATTAGACCGTGTTTCATAAAATGCTAGCCATGGCAGTGGGGAACAGTGTTTGGTTTCTTTAAACTTTTCTTTGAAAAGTTAGAAAGAAACAGACCTCGGCACAGTTACTTTTAGGGATTGGGCAGTTGCAACAGCTGTCAGAATCCCACACCATATTACAGGCTGTAGTCCCTCAAAGGTCGCTTTCCAAGCAATGCCGTGAAAGGGAGGGCCATTGCTCAGTTGCAGGGGAGAAGCGCCCTGGGCGTGAAGGACCTTTGGGGGTATGAGTTCATGTGTTCTTCTCTGAAGAAGCAGTAAGGTCCTAGGTGAGAGGGAGTAGGGGTTAATTTGCTGTAGCAGATGGAGAAAGGCCCTTGGGTTGCAGAGTGTGTTTTGGATAGGCTCATTGGTCTATTGGTCCTGTTGATGGACTTCCGCGAGGCATCTTGTAACCATGGTAAAAACCAAATAGGACTTTGATCTGACCCAGCAGGGCTCCTCTGAATGGGTCCCAACTGCTAGGGCAGAAGAGGCACCAGGATAGTTCTCCAGCAGGAGTGTCCTTGCTTGTTGATAGGAGCCATCAAGTTGCTCCCAACCTATAGTGACCATATGAGCCAATGGCCTGTCATTAGCAGCCCTGCTTAGGTCTTGTGGCTTCCTTTGTAGAGTTGGCCCATCTCATGTTCCACTCTCCCCTTTGCCCACCACTTGGTCTTTCCTAAGGCATCTTGTCTACTCGTGATGCATACGAAGTATAACAGCCTCAGTTTAGGCCATTTTAGCTTTGAGCAAGACAGAGTTCGGTCTTGATTTGTTCTAGAGCCCATTGATTTGCCTTTCTGGAAGTCCATGGTACTGTACCTGTAAAGGTCTCCTCCGACACTGCATTTCAAGGATGGAAATCCAAATGCATCTGAACACATATTTAGAGCAGAGATGGGGAACTGTTTTGGTGGAGGGGGAGGGATCAGCCCAGATTATGTAAAGCAGAGAGGGTCAACATCAGATGTTGCTGGATTACAGCTCCCATCAGCCCTTGCCAGTATAGCCAGTGGTGAGAGGACTGATGGAAATTGCAATTCATCTACATTTGGAGAGTCTCAGGCTGCCCACCCTTGAGATAAAAGCTGTACACCCTGACATGGCCAGCTCCTTCAGCTCAGGAGGAACAGCTTTCCCTCTTCTCCATCCTTTTTATTTTGGATGTGTGTGTGTGCGTGTGTGTGAGAGAGAGAGAGAGAGAGAGGCCAGGGAGAAGTGAAGCCAGATCCCCAATTCTGGAAGTTCCCTGTCTCCCTTGTAAAAGGGTTGGAGAGGACCAGGGGACCTCTCGGGGCCCAAATGCAGCAGTCTAACCAAGTAGGGTGTGGTGAACCCTCCTCGTATCAAATAGCGCGAGCTGAGAGAAAGAAGAAGAATAGGTTTCTTTGGGCCACCTTCTTCTCATCCATGGCCAAGGTGATCTTTGGAGTGAAAACTTTCTGACTTGTGCCTCACACACAGTCTTAGCTGCTACAGTGCCTTGTATCTCAGTTGTTGTCAGCAGTATGAGTATCTCACCCACCCCTGTGAATCCACAAGCCGTCACTTTGGTGACAGCCAACACTGAAAGACTTGGGTGTTTCTATCACAGCTGCAGTGACTCTTAAAATCTGGGCAGGTGGGGGAACAAGGGTAGATGGGCGGAGGCGACCTGGCCAGCATTCACACCTTTCTCTCTGTTTCCAGGCCTTCCATGTGTCCCACATGTTTCACTGCAAGCACCAACCTCGCGCCCGCCCTCCCGCCATCGCTTCCGACTCAGACTGCCACACCGATTGCTAGGGTGTGTGAAATGACTGTCGGGGGGGGGCATGACCAAATGTGTGCCATTTGCTTGGCCTTTGAGGTCAAGGTCGACCCCTGTTTAGGCACCAGCCGGGGGCTTTGCTTGCTCCCAGGGAGCCCCTTGGGAGGTTTGCTGACTGCTCTATGTCCACCTCTGGCACTGCACCCATGGCTGGCAACTTCCAGGAGGAGAAGAGATGGCATCTTTGCAACAACACCAAAGATTCCTCTCTCCATCTCACCCCCCCCCTGCCCGGATGATACAGAGCGGTTTGGCTTCTGGATCTGGATGCCGTGAGCTCCCCTCCCCTTTTTCCTGATGAACTTCCCACCTTCAAAGAATGCCACATCCTCACCGCGGCTGCCAGTCTGGCTTTTTTCATCAACGGACGGTCGCAGAGGAAGCTCCAGAAGGAAATCCCATCCTTTTCAAATGATCATCATTGCTATTATTATTCGTCAGGAAGGACCTGCCCTTCCTTCTCATTCGTTATGGAAGGATCTCACGCTTGAAGTATTACGCACACAGGCTGCGTTGCCAGGAGAAAGATGGATATTGCAGAGAACTCATGGCTCACGGCTCTAGCAGCACATTTCTGCTGCAGAAAACACACACACACACACATGAAGGAATGAACCCTGTATTCTGCCGGTGGGGGTGGGAGTAAAATCACTAGAAAATCAATTGCAGAGGACCTGTGGATTTTGTGTACTGATGCTGCTGATGGGTTGCCAGTTACCTCCCACCTCTTCACCTCTCCCACCCCTCACCCAAAATGTGAATGTATTTTTTTTAATATATAATAAAAGGTACTGACAATCACCTAGCTTATTAGCGGTCAATTGAAAAGAACTGGTGCACTGGAGCATCCCAAACAGGAGCGCTCCTCGCCCCTGCAACATTTTGTCATAGATTCAACTTATTTATTTATTTATTTGCAGTATTTTTCTTCACCTCTCCCACCCCTCACCCAAAATGTGAATGTATTTTTTTTAATATATAATAAAAGGTACTGACAATCACCTAGCTTATTAGCGGTCAATTGAAAAGAACTGGTGCACTGGAGCATCCCAAACAGGAGCGCTCCTCGCCCCTGCAACATTTTGTCATAGATTCAACTTATTTATTTATTTATTTGCAGTATTTTTTAACCGCACGTGCTCCTCGCCCCTGCAACATTTTGTCGTAGGTTCAACTTATTTATTTATTTATTTACAGTATTTTGTAACCGCACGATTACCAGTGGCTAACTTGTTGCAGTAGCAAGCCAAAGGGGCTTCTGAGAAAGAAAAGGGAAATGAAAAGGGAACAAAATGGAACAACCTCCCTCCAGAGATTCATGCGGCCCCGCCGCTGGGTATTTTTAAGACCCAACTAAAAACTTGGATGTTTAAGCAGGCCTTCCCTCTAGTTAACACTTAATTTTTCCTTCTTCACTTATCTTATGTTATTTTTTCAATCTTGAAGAATCTGTTTATTGATTTATAATTTTTTCTCTATCTTCGTATATTTACCATATTTTTCGCATAGATATTTTCGCAAAGATATTTTCCTGTTTTCTTCTCCTAAAAATTGGTGCGTCTTATGGAAAAGTGCGTCTTATGAAGTGAAAAATACGGCATATGTTATTTTTATTTTTATTTGTTTGGAAGCCGCCTAGAGTGGTCGTAATGACCAGATAGGTGGGGTATAAATAAATAAAAATAAAATATAAATACAAATAAAAATAAAGTGAGGGTAAAGAAGCATCTGTGGCCCTTTTACATCCCATTTTGGTGTCTGATCTCACTTGCTGCTGATGCAGAGAATGCTGCTGTACATTGAATCAGATGATCCCCAAAACACTAAGGAGGTGGATGCAAATACTGCAGGATCCCCCTGTCTGTATCCACCGGCTGAAAATATAAATTATGAAACCCCAGAAATATTTATTTACATGTATTTCCAAGGTGTATTTACTAGAACTGGCTACTAGAGGGAGCCAGAGACTGTTCTACGTTTAGCATTTGATACTTCTGTGTTTTTCAGTATTCACGGGGTGGGGGTGGGGAGAGGAGAGGCTTAGAGTTGATCCCTGGTGGATTCTGTGTTTAGCATTTGATGCTTCTGTGTTTTTCAGTATTCGCCGGGTGGGGGTGGGGAGAGGCTTAGAGTTGATCCCTGGTGGATACCGCAGTCCTGTTGTCACCCTAAAGCTGTGGAGACTGAAGCCACTGAGACCAAGTACCTCTAGCCAGGCATGTCATTGATCTCTAAGAAGCACTGAATGTCTCTCAGGACTAACTGCTCCTGTTCATGGATGTCATTAAAACGAGAAACAGCAGATTCCTGGGGTGTCATCGTTTCTTCTGGAGATACCCAAGATTTCCTAATTTTTTTAAAAAAGACCGCTTGTCCAGCATGACCAATCTTCTGCAGCTGCAGTCTCGCTTGACTCTGCTGCTTCAGATGTCTGGAGATTTGTGGGGGTGTTGGTGTTGGGACTTCAATTCCCGGAATTGCCGAGGCAGACATGCTGCTCAGGGAATTCTGAGAGTTGTAGTCCCCCCCCCCAAAAAAATCCCCACTAGAAATCTGCAGACATCCAGAGTGATCTAGTTGAATACAGACGTCCTTATATACACACAAGATGTGCACACAATACATGCCTACCTGCCTGCTTCTCATAAAGCAAAAAAAAAAAGGGGGGGGCGTGGACACATTCCACATGAATGTCTATAACAAAACCTCAACCAACGGGGTAGGAATCAGGAATCCCTTCCCCACCAAATGTTTTGTACTTAAATTCCCACAGCTCTTGCTGACTGTTCAAAACATCTGGATTATGAAAGATCCCCCTACCTGTGCATTAAGGGAAAACAAGCAATTTTGAGAGGGAGTTATTTTAAATGAAGATGTGAGAAGGAGGGGTGCTGAACCCTTTTATGACCTAATGCTTTTCTCCTGAAATTGTCCTCCCTCCATCACAGGCTCCTCAGGTGTGTTTCCCATAGAAAACAACAGAAGTCCCTGCAGAAAGAAAGAAAGCAATTTCATTAGGAGGTTTCTGCTAAAATGTGCCTCATGAGGAGAAGGCGGCCTTGCAGGCAGACGTTTATTCAGCACTGCTGTGTCCTGAGGGATCTCTCCCTCTGCTTTGTAAGCTCAGATCTGCCTCAGAAGAGAAGAAGGACCGGATTAGCCATCAAAATATGAAGTGGCACCACCATAGCTGGAAATGCACAACTAGCGAGACAGAGGGAAGAGTTTCCCCAGCACATCACCCTCCCCACTCCAGAATTCCTCACGCTATGCTACAATTGCATAGTTTCCTTTCCACACCTCTTTTTTTTCAAAAGTCAGACTCTTCAGCATTTTTTCTCTCTACAGTACTGTGAACGGCCTATGAGAAACATGTACGTATTAAGGTTATTCTAGTTAGTTGCCTTCAGATCCCTAAGGAAAGGTTCCTCAGGGATTTTGAAGTCTGGTTTGTCTGGATACGATCTGCTTCTGTGGTGGTGATCCTTCTTCACACCTGTCAGACGACAGGCAGACTTGCTTCCAGGCTACCATAAGAATGTAGCATTCCTGAGGATTTTAGTTTAATTTAAAAAAAACTTAAAACTTTGTGTCAGCAGAGAATCTGGTAGGCTAGCATGAAGTGTTGACAAACATTTGGTTTGAAACGATGGGCTTTTGACAATTTGGATGTCCTTTTTCCGATACATTAGAATAAACTCGCACTGTTGCATGTGAACAGTCTCTACAATCTTTAGGAATGATCTAAAACATGCTTATATTTATTTATTTAAAACATTTATATGTCACCATTCTCTTTAAAAAAACCCAAGGGGACTAAAAGTAAAAGAAACATTAAAAGCTAAAACAAACATTATAACTTTTTAAACATGAACAGATAAAATGTTAAAACTGCTTATTATACTGACATTGCACTTGTATTCTGCTGTTTTCCTGCAAATACTCCTTACTGCTCAATATAATAATATGCATGTATTTCAGAAGGGAAACGTCATGGAGTTCGGTAGCTCCTACCTCAGGTGAGCAGATAAAGGATTGGAGATGGTGCAAGATTAAGACACAACACCATCGGTACCAGAAGCTGACAGTCAGACTAACTTTTTGAGACTACTACACTACAGTTTTGTTTAGTGAGCTCCTCTCATGCCATCTTGCACCAACAGCCTCTGTGACAACCTTTTCCAAGGCTGGGTTCTTCCAGATGTTTTGGGCAAAAGCCCCTATCCATCCCTGGCCATTGGCCAATAGTGGAAGTTATGGACTAAAAGTATGGGGGGAACCTACTGTATGTTGGAGAAAACCAGGCTACAAAACTGACTTCAGAAAACGGAGATGGAGACATTGCCATGGGACCTTGGTTTGACTTTGCACGTCTGTGTATTTAGATTAATGATCAATCCAGGTAGAAGCAAAGCTGCCTTGTAAACAGGATCAGGAAATTAGGTGGTTTCCAAGCAGCTGTTCTGGAGGTTTATGATGCCAAATGTGAGCACCAGGCCTGCAAAGCCTGTGAGTGTGATCTATCCAACCCTGCTCACCGAAGAGTCAATAAACCTCCTGTTTGAGTTTCCTCTCACCTGGGAGTGCAAACTTAACGGGGCAGAATGTCAAGACATCAGGCTTTGCAGAAGGCAAATTGTGCACCTGAGCTAGAGAAGAGAGAGCAGGAGAGCATGGTTCTTCATGTGTCATACAATACTATTGACATGCGCCCAAGACGGCACAGATGAGGCTTCAGCATGTCTCTCCTTGCGGTTTTGTTCTGTCTCACCTTCTGTGTTCCGGCCTTTTACCTGCCTTGCCTGGGACAAAGGAAATAGACAGACATCCCAAAGTGTGACTGAAATAGCATTAGTTTCACCACATTTTTCTGTTTTGAAAACCTCACAGAATGCAGTAGGGGCTCTTTTTCCACCACGTCATTCAAAATGCTACTGTTACGCTCAGCCAAAGTTGAATGGGCTGGACTAGAGGTGTGTTACTGAGGCCTGCCCTTTGAGATTTATTGACCTCGGGAAGCTTTGAAATTGAAAATAGCCCCACCTTTGCCCTTTTTCCTTCCCAGGGGTTTGAGCTTTCCAGGGACAGCCAACCTGAGAGGAATAGTTGCAAGAGTGCATTTGCTAACTTTGTGTACAAACTCAAGGTCAAAGTGAGGAGAAAGAACAGCACATATTTGTTGGGAGGGAGGGGGGAGAGATGCTTGAAAACAGCCAAAGGTGCCATGGCTTAAGAGCCAGACTCAAACTGGACTTGAGCTGCCTCCAAAGTGGGGGAGCAGAGAGAAGAGAGTCACAAGATGTGCCTAGCAAAATCCATCCTGCCAAGAACTTTTTGGACTTTCAGTTCTTCACACTGGTACAAGCCTGATGAAGTGGTGTCTGATCCATGAAAGCTCGCAGATTGTATGATAACTTTTTTGGTGGTCTATAAAGAGACCGCCTGTTCTTGCCTTCATATTTGGTTTTTAAAAGTGTCCATGAGCCCAAAATTCCACAGAACAAAAACAGAGCAGTCCCCAAACAACCCACTCTTTCTCTGACTTTGAGCTAGCATCCCAAAAAGCTGAATGCGAAGAGTTGGCAACTAAACAGAGATGCTGAGGCAAAAGCAGCAAAGCCCCATGGCAGCAGCTTCCCTGTGTCTTAAAAACATATTAATTCCCATTAGTGCTCTCTTTATTGTTTGGAAGGATCCCAGCCAATCTTCAGGAAGACTGGGGAATCTACAGCCTCTAGAAGATCCCACAAAGCCACAGACAGGACATGCTGGATGCCTAATCAAAGCCAATTTCTCTCTCT